AAAAAAAAAAAATGTTACAGTCAGGCAGGTCGTGGTGGCTCACACCTATAATCCCAGCACTTTGGGAGGCCGAGGCAGGCGGATCACTTGAGGTCAGGAGTTCAAGACCAGACTGGCCAACACAGTGAAACCCTGTCTCTACTAAACATACAAAAATTAGGCAGGCATGGTGGCTCGCGCCTGTAATCCCAGCTACTTGGGAGGCTGAGGCAGCAGAATCACTGGAACCCAGGACGGGGAGGTTGCAGTGAGCAGAGATTGTACCACTCCACTACAGCCTGGGCAACGGAGCAAGACTCAGTCTCAAAAACGAAAAAAAAAAAAAGACACGGTCTACATAGACTTACACCTGCTTACTGTTTTAATTTCAAATTAATAGTGAAACATTTAGTTCAAAATAAAAGACCCTGAACACCAAGGTCAACCGATTCAATATTCTTCCCAGATTATTTTTCCCTTCAATGCTCTCCTCATTCCTAACTCTTCTCAATCCCACATCCCCCACTCCATTCCAGACCCCAACTTACCCCACTCCCTTTCTCTCTCCTCCCTTCCTAACCATACACAGTACTTTCAAAGCAGACTGGGAAGTTAGACTGCTACCTAGGAAATACCAGAATCACCTAGGACACTCATATGTTAGTGTGAAGGGAAGCTATGGGATTTTGTTTTTAAGATAACTAGGAGTTAAAAAAAATTCAACCCTGATTAACCAGCATGCTCAGTGTGGGATATTCTGGTTAATACTAACCAGGGAACTTATTTTGTTGAAAAGCAACCCATTAGATCATTTTCCCTTCAATTAGGAGTTACAGTTCACAAGAAATATCTGATGATAATCTGTGTTCTACAAAAGGGCAAAATTCATAATCAATTTTTTTTTTTTTTTTGGAGATGGAGTCTTGCTCTGTCGCTCAGGCTGGAGTGCAGTGGCACGATCTTGGCTTACTGCAACCTCTGCCTCCCAGGTTCGAGAGATTCTCCTGCCTCAGCCTCCCGAGTAGCTGGGACTACAGGTTTGTGCCACCACGTCTGGCTAATTTTTGTATTTTTAGTAGAGACGGGGTTCACCATATTGGTCAGGCTGGTCTTGAACTCCTGACTTCATGATCCGTCCACCTCGGCCTCCCAAAGTGCTGGGACTATAGGCATGAGCCACCGCACCCAGCTCATAATCAAATTTTTTATTTTTATTTTCTGAGACAGGGTCTTGCTCTGTCAACCAGGCTGGAGTGCAATGATGTGATTTCGGCTCACTGTAGCCTCTGCCTCCCAGGTTCAAGCAATTCTTGGCCTCAGCTTCTTGAGTGGCTGGGACTACAGGTGCGCATCACCATGCCCGGCTAATTGTTTGTATTTTTAAGTAGAGAAGGGGTTTTGCCATGTTGGCCATGCTGGTCATGAACTCCTGACCTCAGGTGATCGACCCATCTCGGCCTCCCAAAGTGCTGGGATTACAGGCATGAGCCACCGTGCTCAGCCGCCCGACTACATTTTGTATTTTTTTTTTTTTTCAGAGTCTCACTCTGTAGCCCAGGCTGGAGTGCAGTGGGGCAATTTTGGCTCACTGCAACCTCTGCCTCCCGGATTCAAGCGATTCTCATGCCTTAGCCTCCCGAGTAGCTGGGCCCATAGGCATGTACCACTACGCCTGGCCAATTTTTGTATTTTTTGTTGGACAGGGTTTCGCCATGTTGCCCAGTCTGGTCTTGAACTCCTGAACTCTACCCATCCACCTGCCTCGTCTTCCCAAAGTGCCTGAATTACAGGAGTGAGCCACCGTGCCCGGCCCATAATCAATTTTTATCCTATGGAGGAGTTGGCCTACAGGCCAAAGAAGACCTTAGAGCTAAAAATGGTTTTACATTTTTAAAAGGGTGTGGAAAAAAACATACAAAAAAGAAAATGTGGCTAGGCGCAGGGGCTCGTACCTGTAATCCCAGCACTTTGGGAGGCTGAGGCAGGTGGATCACCTGAGGTCAGGAGTTTGAGACCAGCCTGGCCAACACAGCAAAACCTCGTCTCTACTACAAATACAAAAATTAGCTGGGCGTGGTGGCGTTTGTCTGCAATCCCAGCTACTCAAGAAGCTGAGGCAGGAGAATCGCTTGAACCCGAGAGGCAGAGGTTGCAGTGAGCCGAGACTGCGTCACTGCACTCCAGCCTGGGTAACAGAGCAAGCCTCTCTCTCAAAAAAGAAAACAGAAAAGAAAACGTGACCACATGAGGCCCACAAAGCCTAAAATATTTACTATCTGGCCCTTTACTGAAAAAGTTTGTCAACCCTTATTCTGCAGCACCAAAAACACTGAGTAGTACACAGACTCCAAAATATTGCCCAGAAGTGCTCCTTTCTCATCAAACTAACTGGAGAAGTTTCCTTTACTTCAGTTCCAAATTACTTAAACAGAATCTCTATTTCTCAAATTTATTTGCCTAAATGACTAGCCCTCAAGAAAGTGTTATCTCAAAAAGCTCTATTCCCTTATTTAGACTCAAGTTTCAGCTAAGATGCTAGGGTTGGTTCCCAATAAATTCAAAAGATCGGAAAGCTTACCTGGGGCATTTGCTATAGCCAACGGCAGGCCTTGAATTGGGTGCACCTGGATTCCTGAAGTACCCAATGCACTGAGGTTAATGGTCTGGAGGCCTGGCATGGAGGAGAGTTGAGCAGCATTCACAGTGACTGTGCCAGCAGGAATGGAAGCAGCTGAGGCAATGGGTGTAAGAGTGGTGCTGCTGCTGCTGGTCTGTCCCAAAGAAACACCCTGCATTGGGGCTAAGGTGATTGTCTGGGCTTGTGGGTTCTGAACTTGGAGGTTCTGCAGCTGTAGAGTCTGCCAACTGACCTGTCCGTTGGGCCCCACTGTTGGTGTCCGGATGATGATGGGACCAGAATTTGGAACAGCCTGAAGCTGGAGGTTCTGGAGGGTTTCTTGGGAGATAGCTTGAGTTGTAAAGGTCTGCCCTGACAATGGTGCTGCTTGGAGGGCCTGGAGGGCCTGTCCCCCTTGAACTAGCTGAGGCTGGATAAGAATTTGTTGCTGTTGTGTCTGCTGGTTTTGCTCTCCTTCTTTTTGCTGACCTGCTTGCAGTGAGCCTCCAGATGTCTGGTTTTGCTGGATGTTCAGAGCATCAGACCCCTGTAGCCCACTGACCCTCTGGGGTGTCTGGCCTTGAGAGTTGGTCCCTGATGATCCACTGGTAGTAAAGTTCATAATTCCCATGTTGCTGGTGGTAGTAGTAGTTGAGTAGCTATTGGCATTGGTAAAAAAGGAGCTGGAACTGGCTTGTGATGACACCAAGCTGGCAGAACTGATGGTAGTCCCTGAGGTGACAGGCTGTGAGCCGCTCTCCTGGGACCCGGAGCTGCTGATGGTGACTGCCTGAGAGCTGGGAGTCAAGGTAGCTGCAGAAACGCTGTTGACAGGTAGCAAGGTGATGTTCCCATTCAGGGCCACTGGTACATTGGTCACATACTGAGTCTGTCCTGAGAGTACATTATTAGCCAGGCCTTGGAGGGGGACAGCCTGCTGGAGTAGATTTGGCATAGCAGCAATGATGTTGCCTCCACTTCCTCGATTTGTGATAATCTGTTGGTTTGCACCTGGTATGATCTGTATTTGACCAGAACCATCCTGCTGCACTTGGGCCCCAGTGGCAGCAAACTGCAGCTGTTGCCCATCAACGGTCTGGAACTGTGGGATTACTTGATACTGAATATTAGGCATCACTCCAGGTAGTCCTGTCAGAACTTGCTGGTTCTGTAAGTTGGGAGTGGTAGCCACAACATACTGCCCACCAGAGACTGTGCGATTCTTGGAAGACTCACTGCCATTGCTGCCATTGGTACTGCTGCCACTCTGTTCCTTTGAGGTAGGGGTAGCCCCAGAGGAGGAAGAGATGATCTGCCAGCCATTGGCACCCTGTGAAAGTTGTGTGGCTGTGAGGTCAAGCTCACCTGTTCCCCCTGACTGACTCGGGCCCTGGGAGTTGTTGCTGTTCTCATTGGGTGACTCAATTCTGCTGCAAGTTGCTGCCAGCAGAGCCAAAGGGGATGGCTGGGACTCCTGGCCAAAAATAAGGGAGAGGAAAGGAGTTAGTGACACCCAGCTGCCAGCCTAGGGGGCAGTATACAACAAATAAACAGCAACGTAGTGCAGACAAGGAGCAAAAAACAGAAACAAAAAGCTGACCTATCTGTATTGCTGAAACTCCTGTCTTTGGGGATCTCCATACTCTTACTTCTTATCTATAAAATGGTTTTGATAAGCTCCCTAAAAAGCTTTCTATGAAGAGTAAGGCAATTATCTAAGAATATTTACATCCTCTCAACATCTTCCCCACTCTATTATTATCACTTACCTGCCCTCCTCCTCCTCCACTGCTGCTGCTACTGCCTGTGCTGCTACTTCGAGCCTGTGAAAAGGCACCACCACCATTACCACTGCCCCCATTATTGCCACCAACTCCTTTTTCAATCTTCACCACAGCTGTCATTTCATCCATGGAGTGATCTTGGTCTAAAACAATTAAAAAACAAACAACTTAAACTTGAGGGAAGAAAAGAGATGAAGTAGGAAGGATAAAAGGAGGCTATGATGAAATAGCAATGACTAACAGGAAGGCGATAGGCGCCAGTATAAAGAAAATGGATTGGAGGGCAGAGGGGAGCTGCAGGGCATGCAGGACATGAACTAGGCTCAATGGTGCCAAAAGTGGGCCTCAATTCTCCCTTACACAAAATTAAACTAAGAAAACATTCAAAAAGTGCTTTGGGGATAGGAAATGTGAAGGATGGTAGTCATGCTGAAAGAGTTTCAAAATAAGAAAAAGTATCCTAAGGGAAAAAAGGACAGGTAGGGCAAAAAACAATATGTGGGTGGATGGAAAGCTTGCTAAAATTAAGGTTAAAAGAGATGGAGAGGCCAGGCGCGGTGGTCATGCCTGTAATCCCAGTACTTTGAGACGCTGAGGCAGGAGGATCACCTGGGGTCAGGAGTTTGAGACCAGCCTGACCAACAAGGAGAAACCCCGTCCCCACTAAAAATACAAAATTAGCCGTGTGTGGTGGCGCATGCCTGTAATCCCAGCTACTCCCGGAGGCTGAGGCAGGAGAATCGCTTGAATCTGGGAGGTAGCAGTGAGCCGAGATCGCACCATTGCACTCCAGCCTGGGCGACAACAGCGAAACTCCCTCTCAAAAAAAAAAGAGAGAGATAAAGAAACAAAAATCCAAGTATTAAAAGTAACAAGAGGAGAGGGGAAAAAGAAATAAAAAGTTTTAGTAGGAAAACATTTGTGAATACTACTAAGGAACTAAAGGGGTGTACTGGTTAGTAGTCAGAAGGTTTCGGGGCGGAGGGCGGGCCCTGAGGGAAAGGGCGGTTTCGGGGTGAGGGGCGTGGAAAGGGCGGGACGGTGGG